TCGTTGTGGCACTGCAGGAGGCCCAGGATGGACATGTCGTCTGAGGAATGGGAGGGGGAGTTGAAATGGTTCGCGACTGGGAGGTGCAGTTGTTTGTTGCGAACCGAGCGTAAGTGTTCTGCAAAGCGGTCCCCGAGTCTCCGCTTGGTTTCCCCAATGTAGAGGAAGCCACACCGGGTACAGCGGATGCAGTATACCACATTGGCAGATGTGCAGGTGAACATCTGCTTGATGTGGAAAGTCTTCTTGGGGCCTGGGATGGGGGTGAGGGAGGAGGTATGGGGGCAGGTGTAGCACTTCCTGCGGTTGCAGGGAAAAGTGCCGGGTGTGGTGGAGCTGGAGGGGAGTGTGGAGCGGACAAGGGAGTCACGGAGAGAGTTGTCCCTCCGGAAAGCAGATAAAGGTGGGGAGGGAAAGATGTCTTTGGTGGTGGGGTCGGATTGCAGATGGCGGAAGTGTCGGAGGATGATGCGTTGGATCCGGAGGTTGGTGGGGTGGTACGTGAGGACGAGGGGGATTCTTTTTTGGTTTTTATTGCGTGGACGGGGTGTGAGGGATGAGGTGCGGGAGATGTGGGAGACACGGTTGAGGGCGTTCTCGACCACCGAGGAGGGGAAGTTACGGTCCTTGAAAAACGAGGACAACTGAGATGTACGGGAGTGGAATGCCTCATCCTGGGAGCAGATGCGGCGGAGGCGAAGGAATTGGGAATAGGGGATAGCATTTTTGCAGGAAGGTGGGTGGGAGGAGGAGTATTCTAGGTAGCTGTGGGAGTCGGTGGGCTTGAAATGAATATCGGTTTCGAGGTGGTTGCCCGATATGGAGACAGAGAGGTCCAGGAAGGGGAGAGAGGTGTTAGAGATGGTCCAGGTAAATTTAAGGTTGGGGTGGAAGGTGTTAGTGAAGTGTATGAACTGTTCGAGCTCCTCGTGGGAGCACGAGGCGGCACCGATACAGTCATCAATGTAACGGAGGAAGAGGTGGGGTTTAGGGCCGGTGTAGGTACGGAAGAGGGATTGTTCCACGTAACCTACAAAGAGGCAGGCGTAGCTTGGGCCCATGCGGGTACCCATGGCTACCCCCTTTGTCTGTAGGAAGTGGGAGGAATTGAAAGAGAAGTTGTTGAGTGTGAGGACGAGTTCGGCTAAGCGGATGAGGGTGTCAGTGGAGGGGGACTGGTCGGGCCTGCGGGACAGGAAGAAGCGGAGGGCCTTAAGGCCATCTGCATGGGGAATGCAGGTGTAGAGGGACTGGACGTCCATGGTAAAGATGAGGTGTTGGGGACCGGGGAATTGGAAGTTCTGGAGGAGGTGGAGGGCGTGGGTGGTGTCACGGACATAGGTAGGGAGTTCCTGGACCAAGGGGGAGAAAATGGAGTCGAGATAGTTGGAGATCAGTTCGGTGGGGCAGGAGCAGGCGGAGACAATGGGTCGACCAGGGCATTCAGGTTTGTGGATTTTGGGAAGGAGATAGAAGCGGGCAGTGCGAGGTTGGGGAACGATGAGGTTGGAGGCCGTGGGTGGGAGGTCACCTGAGGTGATGAGGTTGTGGATGGTTTGCGAGATGATGGTTTGGTGCTCAGGGGTGGGGTCATGATCAAGGGGGCGGTAGGAGGAGGTGTCGGAGAGTTGGCGTCCGGCCTCGGCGATGTAGAGGTCAGTGCGCCATACTACAACTGCACCTCCCTTGTCCGCGGGTTTTATGGTGAGGTTGGGATTGGAGCGGAGGGAGCGGAGGGCTGCACGTTCTGCGGGGGAGAGGTTGGAGTGGGTGAGAGGGGTGGAGAGGTTGAGGCGATTGATGTCTCGACGGCAGTTGGAGATGAAGAGGTCAAGGGAAGGTAGGAGGCCTTGGGGTGGTGTCCAGGAGGAGGGGGTGTGTTGGAAGCGGGAGAAGGGGTCAGTAGAGGGAGGGTTAGGTTCACGGTTAAAGAAGTAAGCGTGGAGGCGGAGGCGGCGGAAAAACTGCTCTATGTCCAAGCGTGAGCGGTATTCGTTGATCTGTGGGTGGAGGGGGACAAAGGTCAGCCCTTTACTGAGGACTGACCGTTCGTCCTCAGTAAGGGGTAGGTCTGGGGGGATGGTGAAGACTCGGCAGGGCTGGGTGCTGCTGTCTCCTCTGGAGCTGCTGGCTGTGGAGGTGGTGGGCGGAGCTACGTCGGCTGTGGGCGGAGCTGTGTCGGCGTCGGCTGTGGGCGGAGCTGCGTCGGCGTCGGCTGTGGGCGGAGCTGCGTCGGTGTCCTCAGACGACATGTCCATCCTGGGCCTCCTGCAGTGCCACAACGATGCCACCCGAAGGTTGCAGGAACAGCAACTCATATTCCACTTGGGAACCCTGCAGCCCAATGGTATCAATGTGGATTTCACAAGTTTCAAAATCTCCCCTCCCCCCACCGCATCCCAAAACCAGTCCAACTCGTCCCTGCCTCCCTAACCTGTTCTTCCTCCCACCTATCCCCTCCTCCCACCCCAAGCCGCACCTCCATTCCCTTCCCGTATTAATCTTGTCTAGACCTGTTAGAATTTTATAGGTTTCTTTGAGTTCTCTCCTCATTCTTCCAAACGCCAGTGAATATAGTCCTAATTGATTAAGTCTCTCTCCAATCATCAGTCTTCCCGTTCCAGGAATTAGTCTGGCAAATCTTGGTTGCACTCCTTCTATAGCCAGAATATCCTCCTTCAGGTAATGAGATTAAAACATGTACAATACTCAAGGTATGGTCTCACCAAGACCCTGTACAATTGCAGCAAGACATCCCAGCTCTTATACTCAAATCCTCTTGCTATGAATCTCTTTGGACATTTGCACTTTCAACATCTCACTATTTAAGAAATGTTCTGCCATTCTATTTTCTCTGCCAAAGTGGATTTCTTCATGCTTATTTATATTATGTCCATCTGCCATATTCTAGCCCATTCACTTAACCCGTCTAAGTCCTCTTGAAGGCTCCTTGCACCCTTCTCAGAATTTACATTTCCATTCCAATCAGGGGTCATCAACAAATCTGGAAATAACAATCGGTCCCCACATCCAAATCATTCATACAAATTGTGAACGGTTGTGTACCTAGCACTAATTTGTGGTATCCCACTAGTAACAGCCTACCAGCCTGAGAATAATCCCTTAATTCCTACACTTTGCTTTCTTTCTTTAACCCATTCATAGCCCTTGCTAGTCCATTCTCCCTCAGTCATGTGCTCTAATTTTATTCACTAGACACCTGTGACCTTATTAATAGCCATTTGAAAATCAAAATACACCATATCCACTGGTTCTCCTGTGTCATTGCTACAAGTAAAATCCTGGTTGTCATTCAGCATTTGTGAATAAGTTATCGAAAGTAGTTTGTCTGGAGAACGTCTTACATTTAAAGTAGCAATTTGATAGAAAGTAGTTGCTTTCTTATAGTAAAAAATTGAGTCGGAAGTTTACCACTAAAATTCTTTACATTTATTTCAGCAGAACAGATCAGAACATGGCAATTAGGCCAAAAAATGCATCAGTACTTTCAAAATGAAAAATATGCTGAGAAATTAGAACAAATTATTTAATGTACAAAATGCCCAATATTGTTAATTTTTTTCCCAGTTTTGTAATAAAATTCAGGGAATGGCATAATTATACTATTGTCTAACCATCTCTTAGTGAACAGTACACAATTAGTATCAATGGCTGTTTAAAGCAGGATGAAACATTATAAACAAGATAATGATCTAGTAATGATATTCTTACCCAATGGTTGAATGCCTGGGGGAAGGTGGGGTGGTGGAGGCACCCCAGGGTGAAGTGGCTGCATGCTGCCCAAGCTGGCCATGCCATCAACTGGGCCTTGTAATGGTGGCATGCCCTGTGGGTAGCCACCTATCATGCCTTAAAGGATAACAACAAATTTCAAACATGCATCAAGGATGTCAATACCATGCAACACAGTCTGCATCAATGTTCCCTCTAAATTAGCTGTGGCATTTTTTCAGAAAACTTCTCTCTTGTACGAACAAATCTGACTCGGTAATATTGGCATGCAAAAATAAAGGAAATGTTATTATTTAAATTACAATTGACTTCTTCAATCATGAACATGTAAATTTGTTTTATAATCCGCTTGAATACTTAGAGGGAACCTTGGTGCGCATAATGAAGCATGCACTACAAACTAATGGATGAGACATCTATAACTACTTGAAGGAATGGACATTATTAGTATGTGATGATGAGATAACACAAATAATAAATGAACTTATACACATTTTACCAACTATTTGCATAGTAATAAAATGTGTCTGCTCAAATGTCTACATAGTCTAATCTAATTTATAACTGAAAGGTTGGGATTACCTACCTTTGGTAGGGTCTTCTCCATTCTCTGAATATTATCCATCACATACCAAAGTCCTGTCATCCAATGAGGGGAAAAACACAGGGACATTGTCCCTTTAACACATTTTCAGTGTATATTTAAGGTAAGCCACATGATTCATCTTCTTTCAGAAATCTATAAATTCACCCAACAAAGCCAAGCAGTAAAGCATGCGTGTATGAAATAAAACCATACAACTTTGTTTAAAAGATATGTTCAGATCAGAGGACAGTAGAGAGCCTGGTATGTGGAGGATAACATCATTCAAAGGAGGAGGAGAGCGCCCACTGAAGGTAGTGACCTGAGTTTTTTTTCTTCCTCAGTTATTTTCCACATACTATAGGACAATTCTCATAACTGCAAGATGAGATTGATGTAACCTTTGGTCTGGTCCAGCAACTTGAAATAAGGATTGGCCCCCTAATTATGTGGCCTATTTAGCTTGTAAATCTAAACATTAAAGTTGGATTTATTCAAACTAAAACTCTTAGATGTTTAGAACTTAGCCTTGCTCTGATCTAGAAATATTCACTTGGATTAATTGCAAATAACCTGACCATCCGTCTTTGCTCCAGAACACACAAACAATTCTTGATTTGTGAAAACTTTCTCTTATCCACTAGGTATTATTAAAAGTCCTTTTAGCATGAATGCCTACACCTGTCTGATAGATAAAGCTGAAAACAGAAGCACCTTAAAACTTTAAACCAAAAAAAAGAGTAACATGAAAAAATCCCACAAGTTAGAGTCATAGAAGCATAGGCGCTTGGGCTCACCATGTTTCTGCCAACCAACAGGTTCTTATATCAAAATCAACAAAATAAAAAAAAAGTTAATGTTCACTCATGCTTCTTGGACGCATCAAAGAAACATCAATATGGTTATTTTCAAGTTGAAACTTGTGGTCAAAGAAAATCATACTTCCAAAACCATGGACATTAGTTTCCGCACTAAAAGGTTCAGATTCGGATTAAAGTTTGGATTGATTAAAATAATCAATTTGTCAAAGTTTCTTTCTTAATGGAGATGCTTGGTGATGGTTTCCCAGCAACATATTGCAGTTATTTCATTGTTGTTAGGTCAATATATTGAATCGCCTTCCTAATAGTACTGTGGGAATGCCTTTACCATAAGAACTGTAGTGATTTCAAAAGAAGTCAACTAACATTTTCTGAAGGTCAATAATTGATGGACAACAAATACTGGCGTTGCTAGCGATGTCTCTATCCTCAGAATGAATTTAATTATATTTTCAATACGGGTGACATACATTTTGATCAAACTATGAACTGAATAATTGTAAATAATAAAGAATAATAATAAAAATTATTATGTTTCAAATATTTCTGTCATGCTTCAAATGATATAGTGGTGTCAATTTTGTGACTACATAAATATTATCTAATTTTTCTTAAATATTTCACTGAAATATTTTTAATAGTTAATATAAAGGACATGGGCAAAATTTGTGTCTAGCTGTACAAGTGTATTTTGGTGTGTGAACTGTCACGCAATCTTTTTAGGAGGATATCCAATTTTCCTCTGCATTCCAGATCCCACACTATTTTCTTACAATACTTTTATGGGTCACAAATTTCTCGATACAAAATTGATACCCAACCCTGCTGAGGTTGAGTTGCCTATTTTAAGTGGAGGACATAGATTAGATTTCCTCTCTCTCAGCATCTTCATCTGGCGACGTAGGGTTTTTGAACCCATTAAAAGTTTGCCAGGTTTGGGAATTTTTGAAGAAAATGGAAAACCAGCTGAGGCACTGGTAACATTTTGAATGGAAAGTGCAAAACATTTTCACATTTTCAAATGTTATGATTACAAATGTTGTACTGTAGTGCAGATACATTTTTAATGTCAGGATTCATCTTAGGAATCTGTTCTTTATACGTATGTTGACCCTTCCATTTGTCAGCATTATATGACAGTTCACATCCATACCAGTAATTTTCTAATGGAGAAAGTATTTTTTTTATTCATTCACAGGATGAGGGAGTCACTGGCTAGGCCAGCAATTACTGCCCATCCCTAATTGCCCAGAGGGCAGTTAGGAGTCAACCACATTGCTGCATGTCTGGAGTCACATGTACGCCAGACCAGGTAAGGATGGCAGTTTTCTTCCCTAATGGACATTAGTGAACCAGGCGGGTTTTTCCAACAATCAGCAACGGATTCATAGCCAGCACCAGACTCTTAATTCCAATTTTTTTTTTTACTGAATTCAAATTCCACCATCTACCGTGGCAGGATTTGAACCCATGTCCCAGAACATTACCTGCGTCTTTGGATTATTAGTTCAGTGATAATACCACTAGGCCATTGCCTCTCCGAAGTGTACCATAATGCAGTGAAAAAATATATAAAAGATGTCCTCTGTTGTAATTTTTTTGTGCTCTAGTTTAACTAGGCTGTTAAATCTGGCTGATTTTTAAAATAACTTGTCGATGAAAGGAGAAGAAAACTTTCTGAACCCGGTTCCCTCCATTGATTGACAGTCTCTGTGTTGAAATGGGAATTGTCATCAGTTCAGTCAATGGAGCTAGAATTTTTTGTTATGACAGATGCTATGTTTTGGATGCTTAGCTTGGTTTCATCATCAGATAGTTTGAAAACTATTGTAAGTCTTATGAGCCTGTAACAAGATAAAGTGTGTGATTTGATGTGATTTCTTGTCTGTTTACAAACCTAATAGGCACTTAAAGAATTATACTTTTCCCTTGGCACTTTTGGTCCATGATACTGCATTTGTATTCAGAGTTTCCTTAGAATCTTAAAGGTTTCATGTTTTTAATTATATAAAAATAACTCCCATTATGATTGCATGGCTTCTGAAGTATGTATATTTGCGTACTTGTGAATGACTATGGGAGAGACACATGGATGAATGGGATGGCAGGGATGCTTGGAGAGGGTATGAAGATTCTTGCATAGAGAGGGCATGGGGTACCATGGATGCTCTGAGTGCACAGAAGGGTGATGGGATGGCACAGATCATCTGAAGTCACATGGTTGGCATACAGTGGGGTTAGTGGGAGGTGAAGGGTGAGATTTGGGTGGGTGGGGAACTGTATGTATTTAATTGGTGTGTTGTTTATTTGTTATTCATTATAACTTTCCCTCTTCTGACTGTAAGGGATCTTTCTAATCTTTTTTTCTCGTCACATACCTACAGAAACTTTTAGATTAAGTTTGTATGTTCCCTGCAAGCTTCTTATATTCTACATTCCCTCCTTAAATCAATTCTTTTGTTCTCCTTTGCCGAATTCTCCAAAAGCTCAGGTCTGCTGATTGTTTTGGCCAATTTGTTTCCCTCTTCATGAGACAAGCCTGCCATCCCATAAATTAATCTGGTGAACCTCAGTGGCACTCATCTTTGGCAATTATATTCTTCCTTAGATAAGGAGTCAAAGACTATACATCACACTCCAGGTGAGGTCTGACCAAGGCTTTGTAGAAGTATGGCAAGACATCTTTACTCAAATTGCCTTGAAATGAATGTCAACATACTGTTGACCTTCATAATTGCTTGACACGAGGTGAAAGGTGAGATTTAGAGGCGGGGGAACACTGTAACAAAGTTGGGAATTTGGTTATTGTGTTACAGTACTGAGTTAGGCCTAACCAGCCCAATACTGCTTCTGCACTCCATCATGGCTTTAAATGCATTAAAACGCATTATGTCATGGGTGGCTGTATAGTTTGTGAGCCTTGATATTAGGCAAGTTGGGTTTTCCCACCACAGATCAATTCCTTTATATTGCTTTAATAGCCGAGCTTTACCTATATTGGGACAAATTGCCAAATTTGGCTGCTCAGTCAGGATAAAAGATTAATCAGTGATTGAATATGAAGAATACAAGAAGCTATTGTGGCTACTGCTGTTACATAATCAGCTAGGTTGTTTCTGCTGTGTTTTACGCCTTTCCTAAGTAGGAAGAAATTAGAGCAAATAAAAATGGTCAAGAGCACTTGATCATAAGTAGTGAAACAAAAAAATGTCATCATACAAAAGAAAAGCCACATTTGATTGGTTATGGACCAACTTCTGGTAAAATACTGTATGATCATTTATTATTCAGTTTATTCCACGATAAGCATGTCTTAAGTATGTTGTAAGAAAATTGGAAGAAAATTTTAGAGTCTTAAAATGTATTAATTACATGGATCTTATAATTAAAGAAGCCAGTTGTTAAGCAGAAATTAGTACAGTATCATATTTGCTGATGACAACCCTGGTGAGCCAATTATCTTGATAAAGTTACATAAGAAGGTATCAGAGTCTTTGAGATCAGCTAACTTATCCACTATCTTGGCACCAGATGCATGACAATAGAAAAATTTTTATTCGGCATCAAGAATTTGGTTGTGTGCATTCTGCCATCTCCAATATAATTACAGAAAAAACTTCATGAAATTACTGACCAGAGAATTTTATACAAACAGTCTGGTTGCCATCTATGCGTGATAGCAAAGTAGAAAAACTAACAACAGAAAAATAGTTATATATCGGTGCATGGATTTCATGTTAACATTTAGACAATGTGTGCAAAAATCACATTTTGTGATTTTTATGTTATATATTCTATTTATGGCAGTGGGGGGTAGTTAGTTAATTAGGCTAGATTGTTACTGTATGGTTTAGAACAACACCAACAGTACAGGTTCAATTTCAGTCTGATTGAGGTAGACTTGGGACCCACCTTCTCACCCTGCCCAGACAATGGAAGGTAATGGCAAATCACCACTAACAAAAATACTATCAAACAAAACAGCTCAGGGTGATGAATCAGCAGACGAGTGAAGAACCTGCCCTTAGTCAAAAACTCATGGAATGAAATGGAATTGTTTTCACTGACCACAGGAATGCTATTTACAAACCACTGCAGGAGCATGGATTAAATATGTCAAATAACAAAATATTTTAAAAACTGCGACAATTAAAATGGCCCACTGAAGCCCAAATAGCCTATTTATCTAAGAATTGGCAAAATGACAAACTACCAATAAACAGAAATTTTAGGAATGAACACTGTTGTGACAAAAGCATTCCAAGTTTTGTAATAATCAACAAACACATAACCAAAGCAGATGATAACAGAAAATTAACTGCAAAATAACCTGAGCAAATGGAATCATGTGACTTAACCTGACCTTGTCTGAAAAAAGATCTTTAAGGGTCAATGTCCCTGCAATTGTCCTGTTGGATGACTGGACTATTCCAATGTATGTGGAAGATAACAATGAGGGAAAAATGTTGCCAGATTACAACCAATGTACAATTTTAATCAAATGAATTAAAAATTCCTGTACATGTGGTTAATCTTTAGCAATGGTTAGCAACAGCTTGTTTACATCACATTGTTCTTGACCTTGTAATAGAACTGTTTATAAAATACAAGGATTAAACATTAATTTTTCCAACTATTTGAAAATATAATATCCTCAGGTCTTTATAATTACTTATTGCACCAACTTATTTTTATTTTCCATTCTAGGTGTTCTTTTAGATTATCAAGCATCCAACTCCAATGATATCTCTTATATTGTTAAAATTTCACAATCATTTGCAATATCACAATGCATTGACATGTACAGTATTTCCAAACACAACAGCTTTTGTAAAGAAAAATATTTTGATGCAATAATGTTAAATTTTTCAAGACATGAGATGAAAATGCAACTTAAAATCGTCACTTTGGATCAGAAAATCTAAGAAAACTGTTTTAGAATTTAACCATTTCTGAGATGTGACCCTAGAGAGAGACTTGCTACATGTAATTTTGGTAAACCACCATGGCACTGATGAAAACCCTGCAAATGTAAAAACATCAAAATGACCCCCCCCACCTCGAATTTGGTTGAAAGCAATTTCAATAGAATTTTAGTCCTTTGCCATTTAGCTAGTTCTCGTATGCTACCTGTGACAGGGGTCATCTGCTGATGGAGAATTCCCATTGGTGTAGGAGGTGGTACTACCCCCATGATGGCACCTACAGGTGTACCAGCCCGTGGGGAGGCACACTGCTGCTGCTGAGCTGCACGCTCTCTCTCCTGCTGCTCAGCCTGCTTTGCTGCCCGCTCTGAAAAAACACGAACGTATATTCACATGGGCACACCACTCATTTTATTTATTACAGCACAGAATTAGAAATTTGCAAGGATGAGATAAAGCTTCAATGAAAATATTCACAAAGACTAACCTACATTCAAAACCCGAAGGGTGTGTAGTTATTTTGTCAGTTTTAAAATAGATCCATCTATCTAGGATTAATGAATCACAAACTTCTACTGAATAATTCACTGAGGATAACACAATTCCCTCCCAATCAGACACAACTTCCAGGCTCAGACTGACAAAGTTGTTAATGGCAGTGGATGAACAGGAGCAAAAACAACACTTCATTGCATTTCTTGTAGACTCCACATTTGTGTGAATATTGCATTTTACAAAACAGTGGGTAGATGTATTTAAGATTTAAATCTTTAGTTTCAAAGATAACCAAATGAGGCCAGGGAGCAAACACTGTCGATCGGCAAACTTGAAACATTCTAAAGATTGCCTTTCTGCATACAGAAAGGAGGTTTAACAGTTCAGGTACCTGGGCAGTAACCTTAAAATTACAATAGTAATACTTTGAAATGGATGAAATGTAAAGATACGTACCATATCGGTTTCTGGTTGGCTGTATCAGGCAACTTAATTTAGGAGACAACTGGCCATTTGAGATGTCAAAGTCACTTGATTTTTTTAAAAAAATAAACACACACTATGAATGTCTTTGTTATAATGAATAAATAATGAGCTACCTTCATACTCTGCTTTTTTGACAGCCTCAAGGTTTCTCCATTCTGTACCCACAAGCCTACTCAGCTCTCCAAAAGAGAAGTCAGGATGCTTGGCTTTGATAACAGCTCTCATTTCACTGCTAAACAAGATGTAGCCACTTGGGTTGGTCTTCCTCTTTCCCTCCTTCTGTTTAGTACCCTTGATGGATTTAGGGGTTGACTATATGTAAGCAACATATGACAGTTAGATGTAGCACTTCTAAGCATATAGAGGATAATGAGAAAGATCCTTTGAACATGATCTTTATCCAATCAGTTTGGCAAAGTCATATTCCATGGGCCCTCAGCATGCATTCAGTTTACATTAGACACCTTAGATAAGTACATTATAAAAGTAAAGGTCTTACACGATAATTTCAACACTGAATCTAAATTAAATGGATAATTGGACAGATTGTTGAACTATGATGTAAGGGTATAAGTGATTAAATTAAAAACAAAACCCTGACTAGCACCTGAAGGGCAACCAGCGATGAGCAAGAAATGCCAACCCAGCCAGCAACACCCACATTCCATGAGTGAATTAAAACAAAATTATATTAAGTGCTTTTTGAATTATTGCCCCTAACATTTGATATACTTTTTTCTTAAAAGTATTCCTTTGGTAGGTTATTACATCTTTTTTGTAATTTTTTTGGGTCCACTTGCCTTAATAGCTTGCAGGCAAAGGAGGCAGATGCTCAGTCTACTTTCAGGTTAGAGCAATGTACATGATGCTGTGAATATCTGATTCTATAATTCATTTGTGTGAGGTATAACTTAAACTTTAATGTCCAACCTAGATGTTATACCCATAAAGTGTTAAATCCATTATTAAGGAAGTAGCAATGAGTCATTTGAAAAGTCAAAATGCAATCCATCAGGGCCAGCATTGTTTTATGAAGGATAAATTACGTTTGACTTCTAAGATGTAACGAGCAAAGTGGATAATAGGGATCCCATAAATGTAGTACATCTGGACTCTCAGTAGGCATTTGATAAGGTGCCGCTCAAAAGGTTAATACACAAAAGTAAGATCATATGGCATTAGGGGTAATTGATTACCTTGAATAGAGGACTGGCTAATCAACAGAAAACAGACAGTTGGGATAAATGGGTCTTTGTCTGGTAGGCAAGATGTAACGAGTTGGGTGCTGCAGGGTTCAGTCCTTGGGCCCTAACTTTTTACAATGTATATTCAGGACTTGGATGCAGAGATCAAATGTACTATAGCCAAATTTACAGATGAGACTAAAATAGGTGGGGATGTAGTTGAATAAAGAAATAAAAAATAAACAAGTTTATATGGATAGGTTAGGTAAATGGCCAAATTCTGCAGGAGGACTTTAATGTGAATAAGTGTAAGGTTATCCACTTTGGTCAGAAGAATAAAAAGGCGACTTATTATCTAAATAGATAGGAATACTTTGGCACAGAGGGATCTGCGTATCCTCGAGCATGAGTCGCAGAATGTTTATATGTAGGTAAAGCAGGTAATAAGGAGGCTAAGTGGAATTTTGCCATTTATTGCCAAAGGAATGAAATATAAAAGCAGGGAAGTTTTATTGCATTTGTACAAGGCATCTGGAGTACTGTGTACAGTTTTGTTCCTGTTACTTGACAGGAAAGATGGAATTGCATTGGAGGTAGTTCAGAGAAGGTTCACTAGATTAATTCCAGTGATAAAAAGTTTTTCTTACGAGGAAAGACTGAGCAGTTTAGTTCTATATTCGCTAAAGTTTAGGAGGATGAGAGGAGATTAATTGAAATATAGAAGATGTTAAAGGGATTTACAAAGCAGAGGAGTGTAGAACAGATTACCCTTGTGGGGTAATCTAGAAAGAGAGGTCATAACTTTCTGCTAATGTGGGAATCTCTACCGGTGGCAGATTTAAAACAGATGAGAAGGAATTACTTCTTCCAAAAGGGTCCTGGATCTGTGAAATTCACTATCCCTGTATGCGATGGACTCCGGGACACTGAATAAATTTAAGAATGAGATAGACTTTTAATCAGTAATGGGTTAAAGGGTTATGGCAGGAAAGTGGAGCCGAGGCCATGATTGTATTAAATGGTGGTGTAGGCTCAAGGGGCTGAATTGCATGTTCCTGCTCATAGTTCTCATGTTCATACGTAAATGCAAGGTAATGGAAAACTTGATTACAGGACCTAATTAAAAAAACATACCAAAGTGAATACAAAGCAAACAAGCAAATCAGAGGTAGAACTGTGTAATTTAAACAATGGATAACATATCTTTGACCTTTCACTTTACTTCAGTAAATGATTTAAATTATTTATGTAGTTTCCCCAATGAAAGTATTTAAAAGCTAGAATTTCTGGATAAAAGGATTGGAAATTCCATTGGAAAAATAAATTATTCTGATAGGTCACGTAAACAAACATTGTGATTTTGAAGATAAAAAATAGTTAATTTACTTCTGTTTGGAACATGAAGTGCCTCTTCATTGTCCAGTTAGGATAATACTCCCCACTGTGGAACTGGCTTGCTGAATCAGCAGAAACCAAACGCTCAAATCTCACCATTCCACAGGTGAGTCAGGTTTGCTGTTGAGTTATAAACAATGTCGCAGAGAAGCATGAACTGCCTGGTTCAGGAATCACATTTCCAAGTTGGCCAAAGCGATAGATTTTATTTTCAGATATCATACCAGGTAGGGCATTTTGGAACCATGCCAATGAAGCTGATCATGATTACAATACTCTGCACCATTCTGTTACTGGACAGTGGGATTCTTCCCATTTGATCCTCGATGATCCTGCAAGCCAATGCCACAATGGGAAGTATAATCCTAACCAGACAATTCAAAGGCCTTATATGTTATTACATTTCTATGTATATTTGAGCTGCATCAGGGGAGAGTGAAGAGCAGAACTTTGCAGGTTGTACTGCAGAAAAAAAAAAGAACTGGTAATACCAATATGGAATTGGGTGTGGGTGAAAAGAATAATATTTTCATTAGCTAGTTGTTAAACAAGCAACTATTTTAAAATCACAACTGCAATGTCTCCTTTAGTAGAATCAGAATTCCTTTATTAATACAGTATGTAATGAAATTTTGAAGTAGTTATTTAGGTGAAGCTATTCAGGTTTATACGTTCATGTTTACACTCAAAATCTGTAATGCAGAGGATACCCTAATACTTTTATGTTTCATAAATCTAGAATTTTTTTAGCTTAGTTATTTAGAATGGTGTTTTAGCTTCTGTAAATGCATGTTTTTTTCTTAAGAACTCCTTTACTCCTTTCAATAATTCTGTACCCAATCAGGTTCCCAATAAGATCCTTGCATTGTACCTGTGGAGGTGTATATGGAGCTATTTCCATTTCATTGGTAACAGGAGTCTGTAACTGAGGCACTGAGGGTTGTTCAGCAGTTTCAGCTTCCTCTTCAATACATTCTTCATGATCTTCATCAGGTTCTTCAAATTCCGCAAACTTCATCTCTAACTCCTGTATTTTCTTATCCAAAAGAGGAGATGGTTCCTTTTGGGGAACAATAGGTTTCCTGGAACAATACAGAATTTCCACTTTCACCAGGAACTGTCATGCACATGACTTGTACATTACACATTACACAAAGTAAAATTCTTATAAGTTGTAGTTTGCAATTACATTATACCAAATACTATATTTTAAATTTATTTAGTTGGCTACAAAAGCTTTTGGGACAAGTAAAAGGTGAAAGGTGTTTTACAAACATAATTCATACTTTTTATTTCTCTTAACTATTGTCCTTTTTTCGATCTCCCTTGCCACTTTTTACATGGGAGGGATAGTTAGGAGCAGCGGATCTATCTAGCTTGAAAAAACAGAGTAAGTGTGCCTTTGTGACAGTAATTTCCCCTCTTTAATGTCACAAGTAAATACTCAAATTAATGGTACAATGAAGAATGGGTAAAGCCTATCATGAACAGGGTTATGGAGTTTACATATGACTCAGGACCAGCATCTGAATTTGATGTTAAATTACTAGTATCAACGGGAGTAAGCTCCTACAAAATAAATTGTATGTCAATGAGAATGAACAAGTGTAAAGAGTGCATGACCATAGAATATCTGCAGTATGAGTAGCTGATTGATACTAAGTATTTAACACGATTGGTTTAATAAGTCAACATTGACCAACTAAATTCAGGGCATCAATATTAGAAAACAGACAATGCAGCCCTATATTATTCTTCTGCTCTCTAGTTCACATCTTACAGGTGTCTGCACGTGTTTCAGTTCCCAACCCAGGCAGCTGCACCCCACTTTCCCTTCCTCGGCTCATCTGTCCTGGGTGTCCCATTCTTTGCTGTGGTTCAACAACAGTGTGTTATTCATTCCCTGCACTGTCTCAAAGACTCCTCTGCATTTCTCATTTTCCTGCGCTTGCACTCCTTGACCCATAACTCATTTTGAGAGAGTAAAAATAATTCTTTGCATTTCAGCTCTTCATTATTTGAATGAACAATGCACCACAGGTTAAGAAGCCTCACCCAAAAAACCATACTCAGAAACACAAAAGCAGAGCACTTAGTACCAAAGTCAATCAGAATAGTTTCACGATATAAAAGAGCTTCTTTGCTACTTATAATACTAGGTCTCACCTGAAGTAGTATATCTCATCATCCAATATTTTAGCAGATAATGAAAATCTCTTTAGGCCTTTAAATCTTTTCATTTGTTTGTCAGTCTCATTGTAACGACTTTCGCAAATATACACATCATTTTCATTCACTTCCGTAGGTCGACAAGAGAGGTAGTCTTTAAATGATAATACACTGCACTTGCCTGCATGCAACAGCACCAAATATTATCTTAGAAATACTAACATTAGCTATATATCAAGGCTGTTCGAAGTCTGGAAAGTCAAATTAATTAACCTGAAGTAAGTGAATTTATTATAGAATCTTTTACACCATTTTATACTACTTCTGATCATTAAAGTCAGAACGATTTATGTAATTCTAATAAGCCAAAACAGACATTTTAAAAATTCTAAACTGTCTCCAGATTTGTTTGTTAAATTGATGTTGAACCTAACAAATTACCCAATAATAAGCAGTCAGATATTAATTACTTACCAATTACACACGTCATGGTGCAGGTTTCTTCCACATTGCTAAGAAACACTTCTTTCTTGTAAAACATTTTGGTAGGCTCATGCTCAGTTTCCTCAGGATGGATGAATATGGGACCAAAGAAATAGGCAGCACCACCCCGCACCCACATTTTTTCAATCCTATCAACAGATATACAACAAGTTTGATTTTTTTTCTACATTTTGAACAGTAATTTACTTTATTCATAGGAATGTAGAAGCTATAACACAAAATGTATGTTCTGATAATATGTGAAGGAGTCTGGCATTGATGATCTGTTGTGAGGGAATCACTGTGTCTCCTTCCTTTTGTCTATGGGGTTGGGGTTTGGCATCAGCCAGATTTCAGGCCATTGTGCCTTTCTTCTTGAGAAGGTTTTGGAAGGATGTTCAGGTGTTTGGCAGGAACAGCTGGCTTCACTCAGCTTTGAGCGGTATGGCTGGTATTTCAGCTTGTATGAGTGGTAGAATGGTATGTAAAATGGGAACCAGGCGGATGTGCTGGAAAACTAGCTGTTGCTCTGTCAATAAGACGTTGGTGATGGTCTTATTTTACTGCAAAGTAGCCACTGCTGAAATGTTGGTTCAGCATCCAAAAGAACCTGAAACGAACCCGTGTGATTCATGGGTAAGTTGAGAAAGTTGACCCATGTAGGTGAGGAAGGAGGAGTTAGTGCAGTTAAAGGAGGAAGACAGGAAGGCTGGATCTGGGAATGGGTGCTAAGCAAAATTAAGTTGCTGCCAATGTTTTGTTGCTTTAAAGTAACTGATTGGCCAGAATGACCATACAGAGTGCGAGTCGTTATGAAAGTTCAGATAAAAATGGATTCTCGTAGATCCACACAATCAAGATCCATGGGAAGTACTAGAAATTTCTGGAGAGGTGCGGCATTTTGTTGAAGATTGTATCTGTGGAACTTGAGTTGAGTGAGAGTTGCTGTCTGATGTGAATTAGTGGCAAACTCCTTGAAGAGGAAGAACTGGAATTCTACATGTAGAAGATGGGAGTTTTGAAGGACTTTCTGGCCAAAATTCATATATCATAAATGAGATCTATTTTTGTTGTATTTACTATTTAATGAGTAATTTACACTGACTGACTTTCCTGTGCTTGGCATTCTAGACGTTGCTGCCATGCAAAGACCTTGGAGGTCCGCTCAGATGCAAACAAAATCAGTAGGAAAGCTGCAGAAGTTATAAAAAACTGAAATCGTGTCCATTGGATGTTTTAGTAGGGCAGTTTGGTTGGTTTGGTTATTCTGGCTTGTTGATTCCCATGGGCATCATAACAAATAATAATGTAAGATTGAATAATTCTGTTCATGTTACACAAATAATCAAAACTGTTAATATTTCACAGAGACTTTTACAGATGAAGAGTAAATATTGGCATTGTAACTGAAATATTTTGTTACTGACCTGCCTACACGTGGTTGCACTAAACCATGGGATTTTATGTAGACACAATCTCCAACTTTAAGCCACAAGTCATTATAATGAAGCTGCTCATAATACTGGCAGCCTGGTTCTCCATTTGAAATTTCCACTGGCACATCCTCTCGTTCCTGGACAAACAGATTGAGTAATATTACCTACAAATAGGCTATTAACAACAAATTACCACTGAGAATTGAGCCTCTGACAATTACGTTCTGAAAAAATACGTAAATAACAATTTAAGAAATCACTATTTTGACAACCTTGTGCAAGCAGCAGTGGTACTCAGGCTTCAATCAAGTTTCCTTTGCACAATACATTACATTAACATGTTGCATAAATAAGTCAAGATGAAATTTTACTCATTACATGTGTATCATTTACAATTTGAAGTCATTGTGCTCATACAGTGAACTTCAGTATGAGCATAGTATCACGTGAAGATGATTCCACAAAGGTAATGAAAGTAACAGGCATTGTAAATAAAGTAAAAGATAATTAAAATAAATCCAAAGCAGATAATGGGTTGAAGTTTCTTGGAACAAAAATCAGGAGAACAGTTTTTCTCCTAACAAGCCACATTCCAGAAATTATGCATTCAAACTTGTGTTCCTACAATTTTCACAGAATCACAGAATGAATATAAGGTAGAAGGCTCTGTCCAGCTCTCTGAAAGAGTGATTCATCTAGTCGCTCCTCTGCTTTTCTCCTGCACATTGCTCTGTTCTACATAATGATCTATTTTACACTCGAATACATTGACTGAAACTGAATTCCACACTCTCTTAGGCAATGCATTCTAGACACTAGCTACTTGAATGAATATGTTTTCCCCCATGTTGCAATTGTTTCTTTTGCAAAGGATCTTAAATCTGTATTCTCATGCTCCCCCTATATTGCAGTTGTTTCTTTTGCAGTTCATTTAGTTTAAATAGATCCCAATGCCATTAGGGAGGAAGTTATAGGATTTTGACGCAACAACCTGAAGGAATGGCATGCATTTCCAAGTCGGGATAGTGAGTCGCTTGGATGGAAATGTATATATTTGCTGCCCTGTCTTTCCAGATGGTAGTGATTATGGGCTTGGACAGCGCTGTCTAAACAGCCTTAGTGAATTTCTACAATTCACACTGTAGAATTTATACACTGCTGCTACTCAGTATCAGTGGTGAAGTGAATGTTTGTGAATGTGGTGACAATCAAGCTGTTGCTTTGTCCTGGGTGGTGTCAAACTTTGTGAATGTTGCTAGAGCTACATTCATCCAGCTAAATGGGAAGTGTTCCGTCACACTCCTGACATATGCCTTGTAGATGATGGGCAAGCTATGGGAATCAGAAGGTGAGAATTCACTGCAGGATTCATGGCTTCTGATCTGCTCTTGTAGCTTAACATCTATATGGCTAGTACGGTTCAATTTTGGGGGAAATCATCAACGATAATACCACTGAATGTCCAGGGCAATGGTTAGATATTCTGTTGGAGATGGTCATTGCATGGTTATTTGCCACTTGTCTGCCAAAGTCTAGATATTGTCCACGTTTTGCTGCATGTGGACATGGACTACTTCAGTATGAGGAGTTGTGAATGGTGCTGAACATTGTACAATCATCAATAAACAGGCCCACTTCTGATCTTATGATGAAGGGAAAGTCATTAATGAAGCAGCTAAGATGGGTGGGCCAGGGACATTACCCTGATAAACTGGGGCTCTTTTGATACAGCAATAGTATCCCTATCTCTGGGTAAGGAGCCATGAGCTCAATCCCACCTGCTCCAGCGGTATGTAGTAATGTTGCTGAACAGGTTGATTGGAAGATAACTACCCTGAGAAATTCCTACTGAGCTGTCCTGGAACTGAGATGACTGAACCAACCATAGTCACAACCATCTTCCTTTGTGCCAGGAATACAGAGGATTTTTGTCTCCTGATTTCCATTAACTCTAGTAGGGCTCCTAAATGCCACATTCAGTCAAATATGATGCTAATGTCAATTGAGGCATTGATGTCAAATGCAGCCAGTCTCACTTCATCTCTTGAATTCAGCTCTTTTGTAGAGCTGATCTCTCTCATTTTTGTCTGTCCATGAGGTCATCCAAAAATCTGCTGGCCTGTGTCTTGCCCCAAATCCTGTTCCCCTATTATCCCTGAGCTGTCTGGACTACATTGTTTCCTGGACAAACAAAGTCTTGATTTTTAAATTCTCATCCTGTTTTTAGATCCCTCTGTGCCCTCATTTTCTTTATCTCTCTTTATCTAACAGAGTGGACATGCTGACCTGAAACAGTCATGAAACCTCAAGTGGAAGAATACTAAACTTGCAACATGTAATTAACCAAGAAATGGTGGATATGATCAAAAGCTAGCTAACAGTGACTGGATATGAAGTTTAAAATTAGACTAATGATAGAAAAGTAGAACAAGACAAAAACATTTCATTTTAGCAAGGCAGGCATAAATGATACGAGTAAGAAACTAGGCTTAATATTCTAACAAGCACAGTTGATTGGGACAGGCACTAAAACATATTGCCATATATTTAGACTGCAAAACAAAAATATTCCATTGGGTATAAAGCACAGTGTTGGAACAGGGATATAAATATGAATAACAATACAATGTCACATTATGCTTTACCGAAGTCACCAAATTTGGCCAAAAGATGGGAGTTTCATTTATTGTAGAAAAATGCAAAGTCATAAACTTGGGTCCAAAAATAGAAATACAACATAAAAAACAGAAACAACACAATTTTAAAAGTTCCAAAAAATCCATTGAACAACATCTGCAAAAGAGCTGAATTCAAGAGCTGAGGTGAGAACAACTACAATTGACATCAATGCCACAACTGACAGTTCCATTAGACAGTGATATTGACAGACATGACATGTAATGTGGGATGGGAAGTCTGCAACTTTTAGAATCACAATGATGGATGAAAATGATCTTTCTTAAGTCTGGACTTGTTGACTAAGGGGTACAGAAATATGTTTTGGGTTGGGACATGGGTGACTACAGATGCCTGGAATTTGCTTTACTGTCTTGGGACTGTGAAGAATTTTCCCAGAAATATCACCTTTAATGTAATAAGCATTACAAAGCACTTCTCAGAAATATTACAAAGTATAACAGCTACACACACACGGAGATGTTAGATTGGATAAAGATTTGTCATTTTTAGTGGAAAACATCTTTTCTTTTAAATATAAATACAAACAGACAGGATTACTAGAAATCTCCATTGACAAGCTTCTGAAAAAGACTGTGCAATGGAACATGAAGTGAACAGTGAAAACTGTTCTTTTTCTGTTGCTAATGACCTCTTGACTAATAACCTAATATGAGAGGTTGGATGCACAGCTAAGATATAACATTTCTGCACAGAGGGTGGGGAATGTGAAAGTAATAAGATAGAGGATGTTCAGAGTTTTAAGAGTGATGTGTAGAGTTGTGTCAGACAGTGATGCTGATAGGCATGACATGCAAAATGGAATACTTTTAGAACCACAATGATGGATGAAAATATCTTTCCTTGCTTTGGGCTTACTGGGTAAGGGTGCTGAAATATGTTTAGGGCTGGGTGACTATGGATGTCTGAAACTTGCTTTATTGTCCTGGGATAGTGTAGAGTTTTCCCAAATATCTCCAAAGATTGAGTCTTTGTCTCCATCAAGATAATGTCAGTTGAGGAGAAATGTTGGCCAATACATGGGAGAAAGATTTTCTGTTTAAGGTCTCAACTACTAGACATCATTATTCTTACAACTGCAGTACAATGTCAGAGATGGTTCTAGATTTCGATCAATGATGAGATCAGAATCCAAAATCTTTTGACTCGCCAGTACACTTTGTGCAGTTGGCGGGATGGCTGGTTTGCAATGCAGAGTGAAGCCAGCAGTGTGGGTTGAATTCCCGCACAGGCTGAGACTACCATGAAGGACTCTCCTTCTCAGTCACTCCCCTCACCTAAGGCGTGGTGACCATCAGTTATCTCTCTATAATGGTCTGGTAAGAGTATGGCAACTTTACGTTTACACCTTAATCAAACTGATATTTGGCAATATGATAAAGAAACAGAAGATGCTGGAAAAGCTCTGCAGGTCTAGCAGCATCTGCCGATAAACAGTTAACCATTAGAGTTTAATATGACTCTTCTTCAGATGCTGCTAAACTTGCTGAGTTTCTCCAGCATCTTCTGTTTTTATTTCAGATTTCTAGCAAAGTACTTTGCTTTTACTTGGCACATGATGTTGTGTAATCTAATGGATAAGTCATCAATTATCAGCTGGATTCTTTTTACATTGTCCCTATTTACATTTTCCTACGATTGTGTACTGCAGTTGGTGTAGATGTCAATTTATATGAAGCTATTTCCAAGAAGTGGAATTATGCCTCATGGATTTAATACCAATGACAGTCAGATAAGTACTATAGATTTCTTAGATACACTACATCTTTAATAGTGCTACAAACTTTCTCTATTAATGAGAAAGTGTATAACAACACAAGTCATTTGAAAAACGTTTCTGCCAGAATTGCCACTTGTGGTGGACAATAAAATCCAAACATACACATTCTATCTATGTGATAGGAAAACCAATATTTCCATTTGTTCATAGCAAATAATCTGCCTGCTGAACTCTTATATAACAGATGTTTGTACCTTATCAATAACGCTGTTATTCTCGTCACCTTTGCTTTCTTCAGCCATTGGTTCAACAGACTCTTTGTTTTCTGTTTTGTCTGCATTAGCAAATACAGAAGCAACACGAACAACAGGCAATGGAGTGTTTCTTGGAACAAATTTCACTGCACTTAGAGGCATAGTCCATAATTTAATCTTCTTGAAAGATTTAGTCTTTGCGGAATATCGAGATTCACAGACAAAAACATCTTCATCTCTGAAACCCTCAGGTCGTATTTTAAAGTATTCCTGCATTTGTCGTTAGGCAGAGGAAGGAAAAATTAAATCCCATTATATCCATGTAAAGATGATCTTACTTTCAACAGCTAAATTGTTCAGGTAATATAAAAATGCTTTTAATAATCTGTAAATTAATGAGAAGCTACTTTATTCAATCGTGAAGATTGATAAGATCAGGTGAAATACTTAGTGGTAAAAATTCACCTTGGGTGGTGATGCAGAACCCATGACATCAATATTTTAATCAACCTGCTCAGAGATGTTATTTCACATTACAGCTGGTGAGACTTGAACAAAGGATGCCCCAGCTCAGTCATTATGAACATAACCACTGTGCCACAAGGGCCTTTAGAATCAATGGTGTCATATCAACCCTGTTATAACACTTGATGTCACTTGGTTTGCTGATTCAAACATGCAACCAATCTGGTATTGACCTGTTTGTGCCACTGCTTGGGTTGAATTTCTATCCTGCAAAGACTGAGTTTAAATCATTTGTAATGAACTCATGTTTTCCTAAAAATGAGAACATGAAATAACTTCAAACCAGGACAGAAAAAGAATACAATCGGTTGTCTAAACACATGAACTTTCCTCCAATAAAGATAAAGAAGTCAAATACAGCAGGAAGTTCATAGGCAAAACCTATGACAAATTAAGTAATTTGTACTGACAGCAATAGCTTAATTACCAAAGATTTAAAATCTCCAATGTGGGGAAGAAAAAACTGGAATTCAGATTCTGCTTGTTCTGGCTCCTAGCCCGAGGCCAGCTTTAAAGGCAGTAGGCAGTTACAGACTGAGACAATCTTACTCATTCCCATTATGGGAAGATAGTTAATTTTCTAAACACTTCCTTATTAATGCATTACTGAAGTAATTGAAAGCCTTGTGTGGAGAATCATTAGTTTAAATGGCGTCCTATCATTCTATGATATTGGGATATAAAATATATTTTATTACAACTTGGCCTAAACTCTAACCACAGTCTTTTGTTCATTTTTCAGTAAATGGTGTAATGGAGTAATTAGAAAACATATACTTACTTTTACAAACATTACAACACATTTTCCTAGAATTTTGCTAACCAGAACTTTATTATAGTAGTCACTTTTGAAAACTTCCTTTTCAAGGAATTTCCGTGTGGCCAAGTGGAAAGTTTCATTTGGCCGATAAAACCAGCAACCATACAGCCATTTCTCACCTACAAAATATAATGTGCACAACACAATTCAGTCACCTATTTAAGAATTTAGATAAATATGAATATGATAAGTAGAAGATTGATTTTAGTAGCAATTTTCCAGCTAAAGGTACAACATAAAATCTCTTTGTAGTTATGTGCACAACAATAATGTGCTGTACAAGACCATGTTAGTTTCCTGCTCAGAAGTGAAGAATGAATGTTCCACTATTGATTGTGTCATGGTTATACAAAGAGAAAATCAAGTTGGATGGTGCAGTGGTTAGGTGATATTGCACTGTGACCAACATTAGCCTACTAACGGAATAGCTCTTCTTCTCTGAATGCAATTCAACCTCCATCACATAAATGAACTGATTATCCAAGAGATTACTAGGACATAGACTTTTTGAAGAGCCTGACACAATACAAAGGCCATTGTAGTCATTTAACTCATGGAGTGAATTTTGTTAGTTTTTAAGTTTATCACATTAACACTTAGCCAAAGCAGTTCTTTCAGATTATATTAAAGTTGATGTTTTGATAGAGTCATACAGTCATATAGCAGAGAAACAGGCCCTTCCGCCCAACTCGTCTATGCTGACCAGGTTTCCTACACTAAACTAGTCCCATTTGGGTGCATTTCAAACATATCCCTCTAAACCTTTCCTATTCGTGTACCTGTCAAAAATGTCTCATAATGTTGTAATTGTACTCACCTCCACCACTTCACACACAGCTCATTCTTTATACGCACCACCTCAGGTCACCCCTCAGCCACCTACACTCCAGGGAAATAAGTCCCAGACTATCCAGCCTCTCCTTACAACTAAAACATTAAAGTCTCAGTAACATCCTCCTTAATTTTTTTTTGCACCCTTTCCAGTTTAATAACATCCTTCCTATAGCAGGGCTAATAGAATCGTAAGCAATACTTCAAATGTGGCCTTCCCAATATCTTGTACATCTGTAAAGTGACGTCCAACACCTGTACTCAGTGACTCATGAAGGCAAGCATGCCAAATGCCTTCTTCACCACCCTGTTTACCAATGATGCCACTTTCAAGGAACAATGCACTTTCCCCCCTGCCGAGATCTCTCTGACAACATTCCCCATGACCCTACCATTAACTATGTAAGTCCTGCCCTAGTCTGTCTTACTAAAATGCAACACCTCGCATTTATCTGAATTAAACTCCATCTGCCATTCCTTGGACCACTGGTCCTGTTGAACAAGATTTTGTTGTATTCTTAGGTAACCTTCTTCATGGTACACAATATCACCAATTCTGGTGTCATCAGTGAAATTATTAACCATGCCTCCTATATTATCAGCCACATCATTTATATAAATGATGAACACTAGTGGATCTAAATCATGTATTTTATTCATTGTTGTACATATTAAAGTGAATTAATGCCAAGAATGTAACACAGACACATTTTAGGCATTTGAGTGTCATCCTAAACAATCCCAGGTCAGGTACAAGGCAACTAAATATCGAGTAAGACTTTCTGTACTTTACAAACCTCAGAAGAGTACTACCCATTGTATCAATATCCAGTTCTTGTGACATTGTTACATTTATTCTGCTTTCGGAAAACCTCTCAGCTAGTGCTCCTGTTCTGGGTAATTCCTTAAGAATAGCTGACAAATTTGGTCCTTCAATTGATCTGGTGCTGTCTGATCTGATTAGATGAGGCAGATAGTCTCTGTTAAGACATGGACTTCAAAGATGTCTTTACGACAAACCAGTACTCTCAAACGATTCTACTGTTGAATTCGGCATGTCCAATTCTGATGTCAAGAATCATCAGAAAATAACATACAGGTTTTTCATTTAGATGTTAGTCACTTGCAGCAAGACACACAGAAGCAGATGCTGAAAGTTACTGAGAACATCTTGCCTTAAGCGGAGAGGTACTATCTAGAAGAAACTTCCAAATTAAATAGAGCAAATCTCAACTTAGAAAGTAAAAACAAGAAATCTGTTTGGAAAATAGCCTGCTCATGTTTGTGAAGGCTGAATGTAGGGATGATTTCATTATTTCTAAGACAGCTGAATTAAATTTTAAGTATTTTCATATTTACATTTAGGCCTCAGAAAAAAATTTCAGTCTGAATGCATTACCGGTGTCATCCTCCCAGAGTCGTTCAATGCAGACAATGTGAGGGAGGAGGTTTGGTTCAGCTGGTTCAACGTACACATAATCCCCAACGTGGTACATGTTATCTTTAAAGCTGCAGTCTTGGCTGTAAGTACGCTGGATCCCATATGTGCCATGGCTTCCTGAGTGATCATCACTCATATTTTTCTCAGACTCTGTGTATTAGACTACTGAATTAGTTTTGTGATTAAAACATGTTCAAAAAATACAAAAGTGCAAAGACCAGATCTTCTACAGCTTTCTATAAATACAAATTCTTTACATTTCAACAGAAGACAGTTCCCCTAATCGCAATATTCTAGGTTGAGTTACAATTTAGGCCATTTTTTAAGTTGCTTGAATGCTTAGTGAGTAAGTGAATCATGTTGACAATAAATTCTAAAGATTCAATCCTTGATCTTAGCTGAAATAGCTGATCTTAAGTGATCAGGTAAAAGAAGCATCTGAAAGGACAGGATTGGAATCTGGTGGGACACTTGAGGGTTTGCTGACACCCAGTTAAGGGTCACATATGAGAAAGGTCATTTGGGCAAGTTACTGGAAGGCAATTTGCAGCGACTGAGACACACTCCAGCCAAAAAGTTAGGGAAATATGAAACCCAAAACAAAAAGGAAAACTTGTAATTAGCTGATCCAAAATGCTTCAGCCCCCTACAATATTACAAAAAAAGGAAAAGAAAGTTACCAAAAGATGCAAATATTTTTCAATAGAGTACTGGCAATTGTAGTTGGAACAGTATGTGTGTGATTTTCAAATGAATATACCTCTGCAGCTTTCTTTTCCATATTTCCTTGTAAGTGACATTTTAACGTACAAATAAATGCAATGTACCATAATAGAAATAGATAATAGGTCAAAGGACGCAATGTCATTTTTGTATATTGATGACATTTACAAATAGTTTGCTATTGTTTAGCTGCTTTTGGAAAGAATTTGTATCGTGTATCTCTTAAAAAAATGTTCTTGACAATATTAATCTAATTCCTGAAAGGCAGCTTACTTTGCTATAAGATTAGTCAGCAATATTATCATTTTAAATATTAATTTCTTATACAAGTTCAGAGTGTGGCAACACTGTGTGTACAACATCTGAAAAAACACTTTTCACTGTATTTTTATATGCATGAGACAATAAATCTCAATCTAAAATATGAATAAATAGTACCTGATAATTCCTTTTTTTCCTCTTCTCTCTTCTGTTTATCCTCCTCTATCTCTTTTGGCAATTTTTCCTTTTTTTCTTTTTCCAAGTCATGTTGCAAATGTTTCATAGTATAGCTCAGAGCTGGTGAAAGTAGAATCTCTCCATTTTTGCAGAGCTCATCACGAATCTTAATGAAAAAATGCTGAAGTTCCACTGCATCTTCATATATTTCAGAATCAGTTCTAAGTAGGCCACAAAATATTTGTTAGTATCATACATGCTACACAATCTAGTGCATTGTCCTCCACTTTCCACTATTATATTTGAATTTTCTACATTTCGTTTTTCAGCAAATGGTGACATGATGTGGTATCAGTTCAAGGTGTGATCTGCCTTCCTGTAAATCACTCACTCATGCATGGGCCCAAACAGTATCAATACATTATTCAGCTGTGTACGTGGAGAATGGGAGGCAACAAAAGGCCAAGGCTGAATCTTTTCTTATTGAATATCCACAACATATACATGGATCACTGTATAGTAAGTAGGAGTGGGAACACTGACATTATTCCTTTCTAAGACAGCAAACAAGAAGTAAATCATCATTTGCTGTTAGCCTGTCCAAAATTGGTACATCAGTATCACCAAGAATTGAACCTGGGATCTCCCTGATCCACGTGGCTGAGTATCACATTGCACAATGCATTTAACTACTAACTTTGGAAAGTTTGGAAGTAATTTTTGGCAGGGGGTGGAATACAGGTCATCACACATATTTCTAATTCTCACGTGTAGCAATTGGGCAGATTAACAAATATATTTACTGTTCTATTTTAATTCATGTTAAACTAACAATACCGAAGCTTTCTTTACTGCTGGACTTCAAAGGTAAAACAACTCAAGGGTTTCTGAACCCAGTTTCTTGTACAAAATGGTCAACAATATAATTTTTGTGTGAATTGGCAATTCAAAAACAATTGTTGATTGAAATTTGAGTGATAGTGCTATGGCTATATTTAATGAGTAGATGACAGGCCCATTTATTTTGTATTAATTGATTTTACAACTGCTTTGTGTTTTAGGTTACTTCAACTAGTATTTCAGATTATTTCAGGAGTGTATTAAAACAACAGTTAATGAAGGAACCTGTCACACCAAGTAGTGGTGTCAAGTTCTCTGAGGGACATTTGCGAGCCAGTGGGAATTCATGTTTCCTAGCCAGTTGCAAGGATTATGAAATTAAGTTTCACAACTTGTTATTGTGGGGTCTGAACTCAAAACTCCAGGTTGTTTGGCCAGTACCTAAACAATATATGACTGTTCTCTGTAGATTACTGGCAGAAATCAAAGGACATCTTGTTTGTGAAATACAGCAGATTCTCTTCTGCTACATTTTAATATGGCAATGGCTGTCTTATTTATAATCTAGATATTTAGGTTGGTTGGCTCGCTGAGCTGGTTTGTTGTTCCGCAGACGTTTCGTTACCGTGCTTGGTAACATCCTCAGTGCAGCCTCTGATGAAGCATCGGTGTGTTTTCCTGCCTGGTTTTCAAACTCTGGGGTCCGTTGCGATGGATTGCCTCACTTCCGGGTTTCCTCCGTAGTGGAATGTATGTAGGGTCGAGTTCAATGTGTTTATTAATAGCATGCTTCGTGGAGTGCCATGCTTCCAGGAATTCTCATGCTTGTCTCTGCCTAGCCTGTCCCAGGATCTTGGTGTTGTCCCAGTCGAAGTCGTGGTTCTCCTTGTCCATGTGGATTGAGATGAGTGAGTATTGGTCGTGTCTTTTTGTAGCCAGTTGGTGTTCATGTACTCTTGTTGTTAGTTTCCTTCCTGTTTGTCTGATGTAGTGTTTCTCGCAGTCTCTGCAGGGGATCTTGTAGATGACATTGGTCCTGTCCATGGCGGGGAGTGGGTCTTTAGTTCGGGTGAGCAGTTGTCGTAGCGTTGATGTGGGCTTGTGTGCCACTCTGATGCCCAGCGGTCGTAGAAGTCTTGTGGTGATTCCCCTACAGAGGAAACCTGGAAGTGAGGCAATCCATCGCAACGGACCCCAGAGTTTAAAAACCAGGCGGGAAAACACACCGACGCTTCATCAGAGGCTGCACTGAGGATGTTACCAAGCACGGTAACGAAACGTCTGCGGAACAACAAACGAGTTCGGTGAGCCAACCAACCTCAACACCCACAACCCAAGCTACAGATCTACTCCAAAACAGTAGAGAATCTAGATATACTCTGTATCCTATTGAACATAAATCAGTACAGCATAGGAACAAGCCCTTTGACTCACCACATATGTACCGAACATGATGCCATTCTAAACTAATCCCATCTACCTGCATTTAGTCTGTATCCCACTATTCCCTGCCTGTTCATGTGTCTGTCTAAATGCCTTTTAAACTTTGCAAAAGTATCTGCTTCTACCACCTCCTGTGGCAGTGCATTCCAGGCAATATTTTTTTCTTTATTCATTCACGGGATGAGGGCGTTACTGGCTGGGCAGCATTTATTGCCCATCCCTAATTGCCCCAGAAGGCAGTTAATAGTCAACCACAATGCTGTAGGTCTGGAGTCACATGTAGGTCAGACCAGGTAAGGATGGCAGTTTCCTCCCCTAAAGGATATTTAGTGAACCAGATGGGTTTTATCGACAATTGACAATGGATTCATGGTCATCATTAGACTCTTAATTCCAGATATTTATTGAATTCAAATTCCACCATCTGCCGTTGCGTTATTCGAACCCGGGTCCCCAGAACATTATCTGGATCTCTGGATTAACAGTCCACCGACAATACCACTAGGCCATTGCCTCTCATCTGTGTCAATAATTACCACCCTCTGTGTCAACAACATTCCTTCACATCTCCCTTAAACTTTTCCCCTCTCACGTTAAACCTAGACAGTAAATGGCAGAACACTTAGCAGCATCAACATACAGATGTATTTAGGTGTACAGGTCCACAGTTCCCTGACAGTGGGAACATATGTGGACGAGATGGTCAAGAAGACATATGGCATGCTTGCCCCTTATCGGTCAGGGCACAGAGTATAAATACTGGCAAGTCATGTTCCAGTTGTATCAAAACTTTAGCCACATTTGGAATATTACATACAGTTCTGGTTGCCACACTACTAGAAGGATTTGGAGGCTTTGGAGAGGGTATAGAGATAGTTTACCAGGAAGTTACCTGGTCTGGAGAGTATTAGCTATGCAGAAAGATTGGACAAACTTGATTTGTTTTCATTTGAATGTCAGAGATTAGAAGCAACTGGATAGAACTTTACAAATTAAGCGAGGCATGGATAGAATGGATAGTTAAAATCTTTTTCCAGGGAAGAAATATCAATTGCTATGGGTCATGAGTTTAAGGTAAAAGGGGGAAAGTTGAAAGGAGATGTGACAGGCAAGTTTGTTTACACAGAGCGTGGTAAGTGCCTGGAATCTGCTGCCAGAGGTGGTACTGGAGGCGGATACAATAGTAATGTTTAAAAGGCACCTTGACAGATATATGAATAGGCAGGGAATAGAGGGATATGTACTGGGTAGAGGCCAAAGGTTTTTTAGCTTGGAAAGGCATCATGTGTTTGCGCAGTCATGGTGAGCCGAAGGGCCAGTACCTGTGCTTAACTGTTTTTTGTTCTATTCCCCCTAGTACTTGACAAAGATTTGAGAAAAAGACTTTGACCTTATCCATACCTCTCAATTTTATATGCTTCTGTCAGGTTGCCCTGAGCCTTAGAAGCTCTCGCAAAAACAACTGATGTTTGTCCAACCTCTCCCTATAGCTAATACGGCGCTTCATCGGAGGCTGCACTGATGATGTTACCCAAGAGGGTAATGAAACGTTTGTGGAACAACGAATCAGCTCAGTGAGCCAACCAACCACAATATAGCTAATACACTCCAATCCAGGGAACATCCTAATAAACCTCTTTCACACACTCTCCAAAGCATTCACAGCCTTCCTGTAGTGTGGGGACCAGATTTGCACACACAATACTCCAAATGTGGCCTAACTAAAGTCTTATACAGCTGCTACATGACTTGACAACTTTTATACTCAATGCCCTGACTGATGAAGGCAACCATGCTATATGCCTTCTTTACCACCTTATTCATGCGTACTGCCACTTTCAGGGAGCTTGCGGATAACAAACCAAGATACCCAAATGTGAAACCTTTCCCTGTACTAGCATTCTTCACCTTAATTAGCATAAATTGCACTTACTTTCATTGCTATTTTAGGATGGGGTTTATTAATAATGGCAAAGACAATGTAAATTAACAATATACTTAACACTTGATGTTTCTTACAATTCTATTCCACAGAGCACATTTTCTAGAAATGGAATCAAATAATGGTACACATCTATGCCATTAGAATATATTTAGAAACTAGTGCTACTGGTGGAGGGTTAATCAAAAGAAATTTAAAGTCTGTGTTTTCCTATGTGCTCACCTGTTTAACCGTCTTGCTCTTTCTAATACCTCAAACATGTGCTCCTGAAAAACATCAAGTCTTCCATACCGATTAGTTTCAATATTTTTCCTAATAATATCAAAGGTCAAAGGTGGCTTGTTAGGGATACTTGGATCAGTGGCTGGAATCTCTGCTAAAGAGTCACTATAACAACGTCCTTCATCATCCTGATGACTAAGAACGGAGACAAACAGGTTGTGTATCAACTCCTGTATGAGTAACTTTACATTGGGAATGTGTGCATCATCATCTCCATCCAACTCTTTTTTAGCTTCTAGAAGGACTTTGTGAAGAACAAGTGCATCTTTATAAATAAGAGATTCTGGTTCATTGTAAGTGCAAGCATTATTAAACATCAAAACAAATTCATCAACCAATGAATCAACATCTTGGTACTTATTAGACATCATGTGACTTTTCACTTTCTCCATATCAATTGGTTTTTTAATTGTCAGATAATAATCCGGGAGTTCTGATCGAGTAGGTAGTCTGAGAAAGATGGCACTCAATCTTCGACCCCTGTTGTCTGTGTAGTTTTTAACAGCTTCATATAACTCATTTAATTTTTGTTGTAGTGGGGTCAAGTACTTGGATTTTTTAGGGGAAATACCACTCTTCCTGCCTGAAAACAAAAGTCAAAAAATGTTCAATGCCTACTTCATAGGGAATAACACTCTAGCTCAAAATAATTATTTGAATAATTGGCAGTCTATTTGCAGCAATTAGGCAACTACTTCACTGACCATCTACAATAGTATATATGTGGCTAGTTATGAATAATATTCGTCTTTCCTAAAGAACAGCAATTAGCGATCAAGTTTAATTTCTTGATTAAGGTATTACAGGGAGACTAGTGTCTGCATACCTTGCGCACTTTGCTTACATAACAATTTAGTACCTTGGTTTGCTTGAAAACATCATACTCAGACAGAAAACAGGAAGAACATTAAATTAAATCTTAAACTGTCCCTTAGCTGGCCAGGCCAAGAAATTGCTCTATTTCTCCACCTTTCATTATGATGGTTTATATTTTCTACTAATCAGTGCTGTCAAGTAAGCAAATATGACTAATGTTGACTACGTTTCTCACTATTGAGGGACATTAATGTTTTTGGCAGAAATGAATAATTTGTATTATTTAAAAGGCAAAAGCATAAATAGTACGCACCCTGTGAGGGTGGGAAAGCACAAGACACCAAACAATAAAAAGCTGTACAACAGTATATTCTCATATTCATAAAGACTGAACTTTTGTTTTTTAGCATTAATAAACTGAGAATGAAAGTTAACCACGGGGGCAGCTAGGTTAATTTTAAACAACTTACTTAGTTTCAACTTAGGTGAAGTGGTATCATCATCAAGTAAAGGACCTAACTCTTTCCGTTTTTCTTTCAGAATTTTCTCCAGAATGTTGGCATCATTGTATACCTGTGCAATAATTCAACAGCTATTATTAACTGACTTATATTGAAATTATATTAAGACACAAAGATGCTTCAGGAATGACTATTGTCAAATGAAATATTTCATTTTTGTAACGATCATTTAAAGCACATTAGAAGTGTCAGCACAAAAACAACAAATTAATTTTCTACAATCCATATCATTCTCTCTTTATATGCATATATATATACATACCAATGAACAAGAAGATTGCTACAACTGTTCCAGTTCTTAGTTTACTTTTTAAACATTTCCTTCATTTTATCTAAAAACTGTTTCCTTCTTCTTGCTTGGCAGTTCTTTTAAAGCTTTGAATCATATTTCTTAACCAAGGTAGATAATCTGGGAATCTACTCTAGAGTCTTCATGCATGTTGTTCTATAACCAATCACGAAGAGGTACATGACAAAACATGGTCTGACTTGGAGAATTTGCATCTTTTGCAGAAAATTAATGCTGAGGTCGGACTCACTCCACGACAAACCGTAAATGCAAATTCTTAGTCTAGCAGCACAATGGGGAAGATGGTAGAATAATACAGCTCACTTTTAATCATGAATCAATTGTTCTACAGTCCTTTACTTTGTGAAGATCTGTGATTATATCCTGATTAACAGTACATGGTTAATCATGCATAGCATTTATTGTTTTTACTTGAACTGACGAGGATTTGTCTTATAATTCAGAAGTTGAGATTCAGAGTATTATTGTAATTAGCATACATACCTGTGAGCCTTCTTCATTATAGTGTCTTGCGTTTCGAAACATTAATTTTAAGTCATCTATAAATGCTTCCTCACTTGTGTATTTTTCACTGCGTATGTTATGTTCGAGCATCTTCAGGTCAATAGGCTCCAGGATGACTTTATAGTAATCTGGATAGTCTTTCTTTGATGGCTTAACCAAAAATAGCTCACAGTATCTTCGTCCCGTTGTCGGATCACAGGATTCGACAATTGTATTGTATAGTACTTTCAGTCTGTGTTTTAATTGGGATTCCGTTTTCCTTCTATTCTTTTCTAGCTTCTTTATGCTGGAATTTAAAAATCTGTGTGTATACTTAATCATGAGTCTTCAAAAATAAAGCAGTAAAAACAAAAAAAAGGGAACAAAATACAAAACCAAGAAAATTCAGGGCATTTCTGTTTTCCATTCTGCACCAAAATGAAGCCATTAATTTTCATTGCAGGAGAACACAATTTCTACCTTTTAGTTTGCAACAAACTTGTTCTCTGCCTAACATTTATTATTTTCAGAATTGTAATCAAAATAATCATATATTAAGGTCATTTTACAAAGGTCAAATACAAGGTGAACAAAGTTTCTAAAATTCCTTTTTAACTATAGAATAGCAGCAGTCAACAGAATAAATAGCTTTACCACCTGCTTTCAGAATCAAGAAAGATGCATGTCAAGGCTGTGACTTACTGTCCTTACTACCCTGCTGTGGAGTTGCACTACACGTGAAAGTATATCAGGGTATCAACAGTCCAACTGAAAACAGTACAGTGGTACATGGTGGGCAAATTACTTTTGTTAGCCCACTTTGAAGTTACCATTATAAGTCTCCTATTTTGGGATACTCAACGTGACTTCCAGCATGCTAGATTCCACTGTGGTCAGACAGATTGATATCCTTCTGGATTCTGTTGCTAATTCTGGACTTCAAACATTTTTCTAACATGTAGCAGAAAGGACTATCACATAAGTTTTTATATAATCTGTGTGGACACATGATAAGACATGAGCAAGAAAGCTATTGTAAAAGAACTAACATTTTTTGCAATGGCAGATTCATAAGCTCTTTCATGACAATATATTCTGCAGTGTTTTTCAGTGTCCTTTAAGTTCACATGCCTTGTCAAAGGTAGTTAAGGATGCGCAGCCAATGCTGGACTTGCCAACAGCCCCCAAATCGCACAGATAAGTCAAAATAATTTTATATCCTTGTAGAGAAATCATTTATATTATCTTAAATGAGAAGTTAAGGCCTTTGCTTACTGAGGGCAAATTGCAAGGCACAATGTACACATCCATTAATAGGTTTAGTGAATACAGAAATTATTCAATGGTCCAATGTATTTGGCTGTGTTTTATACACATTTTAAATGACTATTTACATCTGAGGCTGCCTTACACTACTCCCCTGATCCTACAAAAATATATATTTTTATATCTGCATAATAATATTGTGAATAAAGTAATATCTGCTATACCTTTGGCTTCCTCCAAAGGTTGCTAGCATCATAGATGCTACTCTTCAACCAATTTGATTCACTCCAGGAAACAACTGGAGACAGTACATACTGCAAAAACTATGGGCCCTGACAACATTCCGCTATAGTACTGAAGACTTGGGCTCCAGAATTTTCCACATCCCTAGCCAAGCTGTTTCAGTCCAGCTACAACAGTGTCATCTACCTGACAATTTGGAATATTGCCCAGGTATGTCTTGTACATAAAGCAGGACAGATCCAAAATGGCAGTTACCACTCCATCAGTGTACTTTCAAACATCAAAGTGATGGAACGGGTCATCAACAATGCAATCAAGCAACATTTGTTCAGCATGGAGGCCTGGTTTGAGTTCTGCCAGGGTCACTCAGCTCCTGACCTCAATTCAGTTTTGGTTCGAAACATGGATAAAAGAGCTGAATTCCAGACAGTGACTGTCCTTGAATGTGGCATCAAGATTCCCTAGCAAAACTGGAATCAAACGGAATCAGGGAAAAATCTCTGCTGGTTGGAGTCATACCTCACACAAAGAAAAATGGTTGTGGTTGTTGGAGGTTAGCTCAGTTCTTAGACATTTTTGCAGGAGTTCCTCGGAGTAGTGTCCCTAACCCAACCATCTTCAGCTGCATCATTAATGACCTTCCCTCCATCATAAGGTCAGAAGTGGAAATGCTTGCCAGTGACTGTATAATGTTCAGCACCATTTGTGACTTCTCAGATAATACAGCAAGACCTGGACAATTTCTAAGCCTGGGTGGATGAGTGGTAATTAACACGCATGTCACACAAATGCCAGTTGATTACCTTCTCCAATAAGAGAAAATATAATTTTGACATTCAGTGGTGTTACCATTACTGAATCCCTCACTATTAACATCCTGCAGGTTACCACTGACCAGAAAGTGAACTGTCCTAGCCATATAAGTACAGTGGCACAGGGGGAGATCAGTGGCTATGAATATTGCAGTGTGCAACTTACCTCCTACTCGTCAAAGTCTGCCCACCATCTACAAGACACAAGTGAGGAGTGGGGACTACTCCCAACTTGCCTGATGAGTGCAATTCCAAAACATTCAAGAAACTTGACATCATCCAGGTCAAAGTAACCTGCCTAACTGGCAACACATCCACAAACATCCAATTTCACCACCACTGATGCTCGGTAGTAGCACAGTGTATCATCTACAAGATGCACCATAGAAATTCACCAAAGATTGTTGGACAGCATCTTCCAAACCCACGACTACCACCATCTGGAAAGACAAGGTCAGTAGATACAAGGTAACACTACTACCGGAAAGTTTCCATCCAAGTTTCCACCATTCTGACTTGAAAATATACTGTTCCTTCACTGTTGTTGGGTTAAAAACCTGGAATTCCCTCCCTATTAACATTTTGAGTCTTCCTTTAGCACATGAACAACAGCGATTGAAGAAGTCAGCTCACCACCACCTTCTAAAGGTCAACTAAGGCTGAGCAATAAATGCTGGCCCAGCTAGGGATGCGCATGTCCCAGAATTAATTAAAAAAATCTTTTTGTTCATTCATAGGATGTGGGTGTTGTTGCCTAAGCCAACATTTACTTCCCTTCCCTAATTTTCCTTGAGACAGTGCTTATGAGCTGCTTTCTGGAACTGCTGCAGTTCTTAGGCCGTGTGGGTACACCCACAGTGTTGTTAGGAAGGGAATTCCAGTGACAGTGAAGGAACAGCAATAGAGTTCCAAGTCAGAATGGCATGTGGCTTGGAGAGGAAACTGTGTTCCTATTCGTCTACAGCCCTTGTCCTTCTGGATGGCAGTAGTTGCAGGCTTGGAAGGTGCTGCTGGAACAGCTATAGTGAGTTACTAGAGTGCACCACGTAGATGTTAACAATGCTGCCACTGCGCATTGGTGTTGAAGTGAATGAATGTGGAACATGGTGAACAGTTTGCCAAGCAAGTGGACTTCTTTGTCCTGGGTGGTGTCAAGTTGCCCAAGTGTTATTGAAAATGCACTCATCCAGGAGAATGGAGAGCATTTTATCACACTCATGACTTGTGGACAAACACCGGGGAGACAGTAGGTGACTGATGAGGCAGAAGATCAGCTATTTTCTAGCTGAATAGCAGAGCAGCTCGTGGGCTGAATGGCCTACACTTCCTCCTATTTCTTGTGTTCCCACTTTCATTCATCAATAACTCATGGCCAGATCCCTGTGATACTTACAGCATTGCATTCAATTTCAAGGTGTAGACAAATCTCAATAGATTTCATACGTGATTTTCTAACCTGTACATTTCTTAGTGAAAGGCAAATGCTGTAAATGTCAGGCAAGGTTATTTAGCTGGTTTCATTTTACTTTTTAGATTCACAAATTTTCCAAGATTAAATGTATGGATATTCAGTGAAATAAAACTGTATTTCTGACTCTGTTTAACAGTACTAAATCTTTCCTTAGATAAAGAGACCAAAATCATACAAAATACTCAGCTGCAGCCTCACCAATGCTCCATATAATTGCAAGAAGACATCTTTACTCCTATGTTCAAACCCATTAAAAATAAATGGAAAACATACAATCTACTCTCCCAATTGCTTGTTGCACCAAAGTTGCCTTCAGACATACTGTTACATGAAAATAAGAAATGCTGGAGATCACAGCTGGTCAGACAGCATCCATGGAGAGAGAGCAAGCTAACATTTCAAGTCTAGGTGGCTCTTCATCCAGACTTGAAACGTTAGCTTACTCTCTCTCTATGGATGCTGTTTGACTCGCTGTGATCTTCAGCATACGTTGTTTTCAGTACAGATTCCAGCATCTGCAGTAATTAGCTCCTATACTCTTACATTTCTATTTCCCGAACAAAGTGAATAAATTCACATTTTTCTATATTATATTCCATCAGCCATGTTCTAGCCCATTCACTTAACCAGTTTAATTCCCCTTGAAGCCTCTTTGCTTACCACACATAACTTACATTCCCACCTGGTTTTGTGTCATTAGCAAGCTTGAAGATATTACCTTTAGTCTCCATATCCAAGCACTGATACAGACTGTGAAGATGGGCCCCCTTGCTCTGATGCTTGACATTCATTGGTGTTACCATCACTGAATCCCCCATTACCAACGTCCTCGGGCTTACTATTGACCAGAAACTCAACTGGACTCGCCATGTAAACACAGTGACGACAGGACCAGCTCAGAAGTTAGGAATACTGCAGCGAATAACTCATTTACTGACTCTCCAAAGCCTGTCCATCATCTCCAAGGCACAAGTCTTTTAGTGAGTTTAAGTCACATGGGATCCAGGAAGAGCTAGCCAATCGGATACAAAATTCATAAGAGGTCTTTTACAATAGGATTATTAATTAACCCTTTTCCATTGCACAATACCAGATCCAAAAAGCCGGTGCAGTATTTGGTTCCTCAAGATAGGGTTCTCAAAAACCATCTTGTATACATTCCAGGAATTTGTCATCTATACTATTAATTCTAATTAGTTTACCCAAACCTGGATGTACATTGAAGTTTCCCATGATTATTGTATTACTTTTGTCACATGTGCATCTACCCTATATCACCATTACTGTCTGTGGTCTATGAATATTTTCTCCCAACCTTTGCAGCACCATACTGTTTCTAAGCTCTGTCCAAACTAATTTTACACCTTGATCATCTAATCTAAGATCCTCTCCTATGAACATACTGATCTCATCTTTTGATAATAGCACTATGCCACTGCTTTTTCCATTTTGCCTATTCATAAATGTCAAATAAACTTGCATGTTTTGATTTGATTTGATGTGTACCGAGGTACAGTGAAAAGTGTTGTCTTATATGCTGTATGGGCACATCGTACTATACAAGTGCATCTGGGTAACAGAGTACAGGATACAATGTTACAGCTGCCAAGGAGGTGCAGAGAGAGATCAACATTAGCATTAAAGAGAATCATTCTAAAGTCTGACAACAGTGGAGAAGAAGCTGTTCTTGAATCTGTTCATATGTGTATACAAACTTTTAGATCTTCTGCCTGACGGAACAGGGTGCGTAGGGTCTTTGGTTATGTTGGTTGCTTTTCCACTGCAGCGCGAAGTACAGACAAAGTCAAAGGATGGGAGGCTGTTTTGCGTGATCGACTGGGTTGTGTTCACAACTCTCTGTAATTTCAGCTGCCAGTCTCGGTCACTCTGCAGTCACATTGCCATTATAGCAATTAGATCAAAACTTCTAAAGTAAGATCCCGTCCCATTAACTTTTACTTGTGTGATCAATTAATTTACCATGTTGCAAATGTTTTGTGCATTCAGATAGATTGCCTTGAATTTTGCATTTTTAACATTTTTTGCCTATTTTATGCTGGCCAATATTTCTTGAGCCTTATAATTTTGCTAGCTTCTTTTCTTCTGACCATTATTAGCTTTCTTTCTTCCCTGTAAGAATTCCCTTTCAGGTTTCTATCCCCTGACTAAGATAGTTTAAATCCTCAACAATAGCATTTGCAAATCTGCTTGTGAAGATATTAGTCACGATCCTGATTAGGTGCAACCTGTCCTCCTTGAACAGGTCTCGCCTATCCCAGGAGTAATCCCAGTGCCTCTGAAATCTAAGCTCCTCCCTCCTGCACACACACTGCAGCTAAATGTTCCGCTTTCTGTCCACATTAGCCTATGGACTGAGTGCAACTCAGAGATAACTGGTAACATCCTTGATTCTAGCATTAGGGAGACCATACTCTATCTAGGAGTAACATCTATGACCACATTTACTCCTCTGAAATTGCTCTTCCACTCTTGCTCCTTCCCTCCTCTGCAGTTGAGCTACCTACGGTACCACTAATGTGGCTCTGGCTGCATTCCAATGAGGAACCATCACCTTCAGCAATATCCAAGTAGAAAACCAGTTAGAGTGAGAAAGATGGACTCAGGGAACTCCTACACTACCCTGTCTAATCTTCCGAGACTGTCTGGCGGTCACCGTTCTCATCTCTACTCACACGCTTCTATCCTGCACCTCTCCAAACATAGCATCCACATAGTTCTCAGCATTATGAATGCACTACAATGTTTCTAGCAGTTGCTGGAGATCTAAAATCTGGAGCTCAAGTTTTGCAGCTGCTGACACTTTATGGACACGTGTGAAGTGTCCATGACATCCTACACTTCATGAAACATTTTTGGGCAGCATGGTGGCACAGTGGTTAGCACTGCTACTTCACAGTGCCAGGGACTTGGGTTCGATTCTGGCCTTGGGTGACTGTGTGTGGAGTTTGCACATGCCACTGGGTGCTCCGGTTTCCTCCCATAGTCAGAACGTGTGCAGATAAGTGGATTGGCCATGCTTAATTGCCCTGTAGTATCCAGGGATGTAAAGACTAGGTAGATTAGCCACGGTAAAAGTGAGGATAAGCTGGTGGGGTGGGTGTGAGTGGGATGGTCTTCAGAGAGTTGGTGCAGACTCGATGGGCTCAATGGTCTCCTTCTGCACTGTAGGGATTCTACGATTTTATTGACAGGAAATTTTGACAATTTCAAATATATTGAAACAAAATTATTAATATTAAATCAATATTTTGTAATTTTGACATTTACAACATTGGGATGTAATAAACATAAACTGATCAAATTCTAATATTATGACAAATATAAAAATGGCACTATATATCATGCACAAACTGGGCTCCAATATCTCAAGAGTCAGAGCTTTTGGAACACTCAAAGCCATCAAGAATGTTTTTTTTTATTATAACAGTAAAGAAATCTATTCAAATCATATAATGTCACGACATGAGAAAATAAACAGAATTTAGAGTCATAAAGTCACAGAGTAATACAGGATGGAAACAGGCCTTTGGCTCAAACTGGTCCATGCTGACCACGGTGCCCTCTCAGCTCCTTTCAATTGCCCGCATTTGGCCCATATCATCCATGCCCTTCTCATCCATGTACCTATCCAAAATTTTTTTTCAGAGTGGCATGGTGGCTCAGTGGTTAGCACTGCTGCCTCACAGCACCAGGGACCCAGGTTCAATTCCAACCCTCGGGCGACTGTCTATGTGGAGTTTGCACATTCTCCCCGTGTCTGCGTGGGTTTCCTCCGGGTGCTCCAGTTTCCTCCCACAATCCAAAGATGTGCAGATGAAGTGGATTAGCTGTGCTAAATTGCCCATAGTGTTCAGGGATTTGTAGATGAGGTGGGTTACAGGGGCATGGGTCTGGGTGGGATGTCTGAAGGTCAGTGTGAACTTGTTGGGCCGAAGGGCCTGTTTCCACACTGTAGGGATTCTATTTGCAAATGTTTTTTCTCCGGCAGCACATTCCATATGCATACCACTCTCTGCGTGAAGAAGTTGCCCCTCAGGCCCTTCTTAAATCTATCCCCTCTCACCTTAAACGAATGCCCTCTAGTTTTCAATTCCCAATCCCTGGGAAAAAGACTTATGCATTCATCCTATCTATGCCCCTCATAATTTTATACACCTCAATAAGTTCACCCCTCATTCTCCTACGTTCCAAGGAATAAAGTCTGATCCTGGCCAACCTCTCCCTATAATTCAGGCCCACTAGTCCTGACAACATCCTTGTAAATTTTCTTTGTACACTTTCCAGTTTAACTATGTTTTTCGTATAACAGGGTAGTGAAAGATTGGAGGACTATCGAAATAAAAGGTATGGAGTTATGATCATTGTGACAGAGAAGGAGACCATTTTATTCTATTGTTTTAAAATTTTACTCTAAGATCTGTAGGTTTAGGATAGAAGGGGTTCAATGCACGTTGTATTCTTCAGTTTTCAACTATACAAAGCATAGATAACAAGTTGTGAACAATTTGTAACAATGGTCAGCCTTTTCCATAGCCGAAACATTAGATTTATAAAATTTTTCTATTTTAAATATTTTATTGCTATAAAATTTTTATGTCTTACCTCTTTCTCTTCGCACTGCCTGTATCAGATGTTACGGAAGATACCATACTGTCACCATCTTCAGTATACTCTCTTCTAGCCAGCTCCTTTTTCTTTGCCTGAAGGAACAATTCTCAATAAAGTACCTCAGATAAAATTTACAGAATATATAAATATTAAAACACATCATACTACTATTTTTATACCTGCATGATTTGCTGTAACTTCAGCACTCGTTTAAAGATTGCAGAATTAGGAATATTATAGCGTTTGGCATTTTCAAACATCAGGTTCATATCAGCTTCCATCTGGTCCAGATTTTCAAATTCATTGCTCTTCAATTTTTGTCTAATTAAAAGAATAAAATTTAATACCAGATTTACTATACATGTAAAATTCCACGTTATAATAGTGACATTTCTCTTCAGTATCCTGAGGAATCTTAGTTTCCAAAATCATTGGTAAACATGAAGCTTTGTTACACTCATCAGATTTGTCTTTTTTTCATTTAAGTGAAAACTATAATCTGCAATGCATAGAGAATTTCAGTAGATATATACACAATGCAATCTCACCACAAATTCTATTATAAAGAATATGATACAGCAAGCAACAGTAATAAATGCGTTTAGATTTAGATTCTGGGTTTTAAATTATTTACAATTACAAGTCTATCCAGTCTGGGTGATTTATCCACCTTTCAGCTTCCCCAGTACCTTCTCCTTAGTAACAGCCTTTACGTTCTACCCCGACTCTCTTGAAGTTGTGGAATGCTACTGATGTCTTCCACTATGAAGACTGATGCAAAGTACCTATTCAGTTCCTTTGCCATTTCTTTGTTCCCCATTCTTACTTCTCCAGCCTCATTTTCCAGCAGTCTAATGTCCATTTTTGCTGCTCTTTTACCTTTTAATATATATCGTAAAAACTCTTGCAATCTTCTTTCATATTACCAGCAAGCTCACCCTCACATTTCAACTTCTTCCTTGCTTATTGCTATCTTAATTTTCCTCTGCTGGTTTTTCAAGGCTTCACAATCCTTTGGCTTCCCACTAATCTTCACCACATTGTACGCTTTTTCTTTGCTTTTATACTGTCACTGACTTCTCTTGTCTGCCACGGTTGCTTCACCTTCCCCTTAGTACATTTCGTCTTCCTTGGGATGAATTTCTGCTGAGCCTCCCGAATTATCCCCAGAAATTCCTGCCAATGCTCCTCTACCATTTTCCCTGCTAGGTTCTCCTTACGATCAAGTCTGGCCAGCACTTCCCCTCTGCTGTGGGTTGATCCACATGCCATTATGAAGGGAATTCCAGGATTTTGACCCAGTGACAATGGGTCAAAGATAGTAGGAACTGCAGATGCTGGAGAATCCAAGACAACAAGGTGCAGGACTGGATGAACACAGCAGGCCAAGCAGCATCATAGGAGCAGAAAGGCTGACGTTTCGGGCCTAGACCCTTCATCAGAAAAGGGGGAGGGGAAGGGGGTTCTGAAATAAAAAGGGAGAGAGTGCGAGGCGGATAGAAGATGGATAGAGGAGAGGATAGGTGGAGAGGAAACAAACAGGTCGAAGAGGCGGGGATGGAGCCAGTAAAGGTGAGTGTAGGTGGGGAG